ATGATTGTGTGTGAGTGTGTGCTTCTGTATGTGTGTCTGTGAGCGAATATGTGAGCATGTTTGTGCATGTGAATGTGTTAAAGTGTGTGAGAACATTTGTGAGGGCGTTAGTGTGTGTTAGCATGTTTGTGTGTGAGTGAATGTGTTAGCAAGTTCATATGTTTATGTAGATGTTGGGATATGCTTGTGTGTTACTGTTGTTCCTGTATGTGTGTTTCTGAGTGGATATGTGAGCATGTTTGTATGTGTGAATGTGTTAAAGTGTGAGTGTACATTTGTGAGGGAATTTGTGTGTGAGCATGTTTGTGTGTGAGTGAATGTGTCAGTTGATGTGTGTTCTCACGTATGTGAGAATGCTCATGTGTTAGTGAACATGCAATCATTTTTATGTGTGTACGTGTGAGCGTGTGTGTGTGAGGATGTTAATGTGTTTCTCTATGTTTTTGAGTGAATTTGTGAGTGTGTTTTCATATGTGGGCATGGTTGCTTGTGAACGAATTTGTGAGCAGGTTCAAATGTGCATGTAAATATGGGAGCATGTTTGTGTGTATTTGTGTTAGTATGTGAGTGCATTTGAGCATGCCACTGTAAGTGAGCTTTCGTGTGAGTGAATATGAGAGCCTTTTTGTGCACATGAATGTGTTAAAGTGTGTGAGTACATATGTGAGGGAGTTTGTGTGTGTGAGCATGTTTGTGTGTGAGTCAGTTTGTCTGTGTATGTAGATGTGAGGATATGTTTGTGTGTTAATGTGTGGTCTTGTATGTGTGTTTGTGAGTGAACATGTGAGCATATTTGTGTATATGTGTGTGTTAAAGTGTGTGAGTACATTTGTGAGGGGATTTGTGTGTGAGCATGTTTGTGCATGAGTGAATGTGTGAGCCAGTTTATATGTGTATGAAGATGAGGGGATATGCTTGTGTGTTAATGTGTGGTCCTGTATGTGTGTTTGTGAGTGAATATGAGAGCATATTTTTGTATGTGAATGTGTTAAAATGTGAGGACATTTCTGAGGGAATTTGTGTGTGAGGATGTTTGTGTGTGAGTGAATGTGTGATCCAGTTTATATGTGTATGTAGATGAGGGGCTATGCTTGTGTGTTAATGTGTGGTCCTGTATGTGTGTTTGTGAGTGAATATGTTAGCATATTTGAGCATATGAATGTGTTGAAGTGTGTGAGTACACTTGTAAGGGAATTTGTGTGTGAGCATGTTTGTGAGTGAATGTGTGTTCTCATGTATGTGAGAATGCTCATGTTAGTGAAGATACCATCATGTTTATGTTTGTATGTGTGAGCGTGTGTGTGTGTGAAGATAGCAATGTGTTTCCCAATGTATTTGAGCGAATTTGTGAGTGTGTTTCCCTATGTGGGCATGGTTACATGTGAACGAATTTGTGAGCAGGTTCAAATGTGCATGTAAATGTGGGAGCCATGTTTGCATGTATTTGTGCTCATTTGTGAGTGAATTTGAGCTTGCCGCTGTATGTGAGCTTGCTTGTGAGGGAAAGTGTGAGCATGTTTGTGCATGTGAATGTGTTAAAATGTTTGTGTACATTTGTGAAGGCATTTGTGTGTGTGAGCATGTTTGTGTGTGAGTGAATGTCTGAGCCAGTTCATATGTGTATGTAGATTGGGGATATGTTTGTGTGTTAATGTGTGTTCCTGTATGTGTGTTTGTGAGTGAATATGTTAGCATGCTTGTGTGTGTGAAGGTGTTAAAACGTGAGGGTACATTTCTGAGGGAATTTGTGTGTGAGCATGTTTTTGTGTGAGTGAATGTGTGAATGAATGTGTGTTCTCATGTATGTGAGAATGCTCATGTGTTAGTGAAGATGCGATCGTGTTTATGTGTGTATGTGTGAGCATGTGTGTGTGAGGATGTTAATGTGTTTCTCCATGTTTTTGAGTGAATTTGTGAGTGTGTTTGCATATGTGGGCATGGTTGCATGTGAATGAATTTGTGAGCTGGTTTAAATGTGCATGTAAATGTGGGCGCATGTTTGCATGTATTAGTTGTTAATATGTGAGTGAATTTGAGCTTGCCACTGTACGTGAGCTTGCTTGTGAGTGAATGTGTGAGCATGTTTGTGCATGTGAATGTGTTAAAGTGTGTGAGTACGTTTGTGAGGGCATCTGTGTGTGTGAGCATGTTTTTGTGTGAATGTGTGGGTCAGTTCTTATGTGTATGTAGATGTGGGGACATGCTTGTGTGTCAGTGTGTGTTCCTGTATGTTTGTGAGTGTATATGTGAGCATGTTTGTGTGTGTGAATGTGTTAAAGTGTGTGAATACATTGGTGAGACACTGTGGACACACACATTTGTATTGCTTCCTCATCAGCTCAAAACTTTGCACACCCAGCCCCACGCAAAGCTACGAGTCTCTGTAATACGTCACACTACTGCTAGGGAAATAGGTGTGACGTCTGCAACTCTGCCTGCTGGCTTCCCTGCTGGCTGACTGGTCAGACGCTGAGCTGCAAAGGGGGAAATGTGCTATTCCAAGCCCAGGGCTTCACAAAGCCAAGCCCTGTCAGGAACGTGCATCTGAATGGCAGCTGAGAACTTAATAACCTTTGTGTTAGGGCACGGCCGACTCCAGCATCCAGGGCTTTTATGAACAAGCCCCAGGAAAGTGCTATGTGGTGACAGGCGTTCCCAGAAACACAGTTCTCCATGACTGTGTTTCAGGCCCCCCACCTGCCCGCAGAGAGTGGAAGCTGTGCTAGGCAGCCAACAAGCCCCAAGGGGCCTGGCAGCCAGCCCCACCCTCCGTTTCTCCTCCAGACTGGTCCTCGCCGCTCAGGGGACTCCATCCCTTAGAGTGGAATGCTTGGGACCTGAAAGGGCCAGCCAGAAGCCTGGCCCAGGACTCCAAGCTGAAAGGATGATGGAGGGGAATGAGAAAATTCCCCATAAGGAGCCTAAATGCCATCTCTAAGGTGATAGATGGCCTTATCCTGATATCCTGTCACTGCCTATCCCCCACTCTCCTGGACTCAGGAAGGCAGAAAAAGTGGTGGGGGCAATCATGCCTCTGTCTTGGAATCTTTGCTGCCTCAACTCCCCTTCCTCCCTAGCAGATGGATGAAGGAATGATGAAAATGTCTCATTCATTCCTTCACTCCACAATATCGGGTGCCTATGTCATGCCAGGCACGGGGCTAGGTGAAACCCTAACAGTTCTCTTGCCCAGAAGGAAGTGGCTTTGTCCGCTTTGCCAGGCTCTTCCTCTGCCTCTTCATCCTCCTCCTTTTCTCACTCCCCCACCCTGCACTCAAGGAAGCAATAAGGCTCTTATGTGAGTTGGGTCGCAATTAAGGGAGACCCCTGCATGTGGTGGGTGCACACGGAGAGGCGAGGCCCTGAAACTCGATTTCACCTCACACGCAGAGGGAGATCAGCTGTAGTGGGGAGCTGTATAGGGAATCCTGGGGCCCCCAAACTCTGAATGCCCTAACCCAGGTGTTCCATCCGTTGGGCTCCACCCCCCCCATATCTACGTAACGATAACCCTGACATACAGCCTAACCCTAACCCTAATCCTTCTGCCTAAATGCTAGTGGGTCCTCCCACCTTCATCTTCTGTTTGGCTAAATTGAGTGAGTGCCCAGGGATTAATCCTTTTTCACACACTCCAGGTCTGCAGGTCCACAAGACTTAGTGTAACCCCCCTCCCCAGAGATTGATTCTTGTCCCAGAGCCCTCCCCGTGGCAAGGAGAACATGTAGTGGCTATTCTCATCACCCACCAGCCCACCGGTGCTTGGTGCAACTGATCCAAATGGTGCGAGACTTTTCTCCCCAGGGCACTCGCCCAGAAGAGGTGCTGCTGCCCTTTTTTGCAGGGAAAACGCTCGCCCTCCGCCCCCTCCACCCAGGCTTCCCAGTGCATACTCACCTTGAGTACCTTGGACCCTTCGGTCTGCCCTCACACTCCGGAGAAAGCAACACAGCAGAGGGGAATTACCAGTCAAGGGACCCACCTCCCAAGTTGTTCCCCCCCCCCCCGGGGGGTACTGCTTTGATTTTCCAGGTGTCTCCCCAGGCCAAACATAGCACCCTGGTCCTGAAAGGGCTAAATCCTCCCAGCTGTGTGCTCTTGGGTGTAGGCAGCGCGCATTCAGAAGCCCTCTATTCATATGCACAAATGCAGTCATTAGCATTCATTAACCCTTTAGAGTGGGTATGTAGTCCAAACTCCTTCGGGAAGTTGGGTGCTTCCTTTGGCTTAGGCTCCCTGTTCATTCTACTTCCTGTGAGCTGGAGTGTGAATAACCTGTTTAATACACCCTTTTAGTGTGCACCTGTCCTTGGTCCATGTTTCTGGGGTGTCCCCTGAGCCAGAGGATGCTGCTTCTGTTATGTGGGAGAAATCTGGGGAGAAATTGACATGTGGACTTCCTGGGGGTTTGTGTGTCAGTTTCTTTGTCATTTCTAATCTCTGCGCTGGAGATCTGAGTGCTAGGCTGAGGAGTTTGGATTTTATTGGGAGGTTAGATAAAACCATCAAAAGGTCTTCAGGTGATCGGCTGGATTTATAAAGATCGCACTGGGGAAGGGGGAGTTGGGGTGGAAATTCCCGCGGCCCGGGTGGATTAAGTACACTAGACAGAGAAGATCATGCTCTCAATTTCGGACTGGCTGAATGGGGCAGGGGCTCAGGGTGTGAAGAATGTGCTCAAGTAGAAGAATGCGTGTTTTCCCAGAGATGGAGCAGAACACTCTAGCCCGAGAAGCATGGTGCGCTGTGTCCTACGCAGCTGTCTCTGTGCTTAGCCTTTTTCCAGCTACGCCATCTTAAGAGAGAGTGGAGTGGGAAGACGGCCTTATGTATATGAAGGCAGGGAAGTGGGAGAAATTCCAGGGAAACTTCTAGAAGGCCTGGGAGTTGGGGGACTGGCAGTGCTCCCTTGCAGGTCTCTGCAGGGTCAGGTGGGTGGGATCTGGAGAGCCAGAGGTGTAGAGCCAGGGAGTGGCCTCTAGGGTCTGGACGTGGCTTACCTCCAAAATTTGGTCTCAGGCGGATATCATATGCCGACAGCACTCTGTTCAAAATCTTTCCAACCACTTCTTCATTTGCACAGTTTTTGCTGAAACAGAGAAGTCATTAGTAAATGCTGGTCGACTTGTGGCTGACTTGCCAGTGGCTGCCTGGCCAGGGCCTTCCCTTCTGCAGTACATACGCAGACATGTCCAATCATACGTGTATGCACTCTCTCCCCACTCCCCTCCCTCCCCATGGTGAGTCAGCCAGAAGCACTGCAGTGACGCAGTTTCTTTTTCCCCTCTCCCCCCACCCCCAGCTTTTATCCAGGGGGTGGGGCAAAAAGATCTCTGTTACCAGGCAGGACTGGGGGGAGGTGGGGGGAGAGGAGGAGGCGATAGGAGGAGGGGAGATGGGAGAGAGTGGGCAGGTGAAAAATGCATTACTTCACCCCTTAAGGAGCCCCCATTGCAATCAGCCTGGACGCTGTTTTCCAGGTGGGTGGGGGTCCTTCCAGGAGCACCTGATTGCCCCAGGAAAAGTCCTCTTCCACTCTCAGTACCCTCTCGAGCTGAGCCAACACTATCCAGCTCAAAGTCACATTTCCTTTACCTGGGCTAGGGCTGGGCATTTTCATGTCACTTTTATGTCAACCTTCTTTTTGTACACCTCTGGTTTTAAGACTTGGCATATGCCATATGACGCAGAGATACAGTCTTTCTCACGTAGTGGAGATTTAGAACTCTTATACAACCAAATCATTTCAGATTCTTGGGGTTCAGAGCTGTCCTCGAAAAGATATTCATTCTGGGAGCAGGCATCTCTCTTGCTAAGCATGTGCTTCCAGCCTGGAGATGTCCTAGGTGAGCACATCAGTGGACCCAGCTTGGCTATGCAGAGAGCTGGCTTTTCCAGAAGTTTCTGATATGATCACCTAGTTCACCCAGGCTTTCATTAGGGCTCTTTCCCCCAAAGGGGCTTGTATATGAGAGCAGGCCCTGGCATCACTGTGACTCTTCGAACCTTTGACGCATTACCCATGGTGCGTCAGCCCCTGCAATTCTATGTGCGTATGTGTGTGTGTGCGTGTGTGCGCATGTGTGCTTGGTCACTGGCGCAGTTTGGTATGTTGGATTGAGGGCGCTGTAGAGCACTGTTTACTGGAATCTTGCCCAACTCCCCCCTCCCCTCTTTTCTGTATACATGCTCATTTCTGTTTTGCCATTTAAACATTGTTAAAAATTATCCCCGATCATCTTTAATCAATCAATCATTTCACTCTGAAACATCCCAAAGTGCGCATACGAATTATTCCCAAATTAAAACAATGAATTCCCACCTGTTTTCCAGCACACGTTGCCCATATGTCCATACTCAGGACCCGTGGCCACCCCAAATATACATTTCTGTGCGATCTACATGTTGAGGCTGCCTGTTTAACAGTTCTCCAGACATTTACTGACCCACACAAACTTGAAATCAGACACAGAAAAACCCTGACTCTTCAAAGATTTTCGCAGGAGTTAAGTACAAAGGCGCACGTATCTCAGATCACACGCTTGAGGGTTACACAGCTACTGAGCACACTGCTTGGGTTCCGACGAGGTTGAGTTAATAATTCCTACCTGCCGCATTGGAAAGGGTCCCTCACCTCTCAACACGCACATGCACGCACAAGCTCGTGCGCCTCGGGGAACAACTAAAATCGAGACTCAAACAGGTGTCTCTCCTGTCTATGTTTTGTGAATTGCGCATCACCCTGTACTCCCCCACCCCCGTTCCACAGGTGCCAAAAGAGGCGGCTGGAGAAAGATGCTAAGGTGAATGGGCAAATCCCGGGGAGAGGGCACCCCCACGGACTGCGCAGTAACAGGTGGGCTAAAGCACAGGGCTCCATCTCAACTGACCGTCCCCACTTCCACACCACCCTTTCCAGGGGTCTCGGCTCGCCGAGCCCGGGTCCGAGCGCCCCCAGCCCGCTCCCTCCAAGAGTCCAGAGGCTCTTTGCCCACCCAGTCCCCGCCGTGCCTAGATTAGGGGTGCCCGCTTACCAGTTGAACAGGTCCTGGACGACGCTGGGCACCTCGGAGGAGAACTCGAAGTGGAATTTCGGGAAGGGACTGGGGTCCTCCGCGAACCAGCTGTTGATGCACAGCAGGAACACGATGGCCTCCAGCACACCTCGGGCGCCCATGGCCGCGGAGCTCGGGGGCCAGAGGGCGCGGGGGATACGGCCACGGAAAGGGACAGGGGTGGGATGCGGAGTGGGTCGGTGAGGGGCGAGGAGGGGGAGCGGGATGGCCGGCCCTTGCGCCGAAAGTCTCCTCTAAGGAGACAGCAGCGAGGGCAAGGGGAGCAGCGCAGGGGTCGGTCCGGATCCCGAAGCTCAGAGCCCGGGACCAGGAGCCACCCAGCGGGTCCGCCGGACTCAGCGCCTCTCAGCGCGTGCCCGGCAGCTGCGAAGTGCGCTCTGCCTGCGATCGCTCCGGGTTGCGACTAGGCACCCAAGCGGGCACGCGGCTGGCTCCTCCCACTCCGACAGCAGCACCGGCCAAGCCAATCCGGCAGGAGTTAGGAGCCGCACAAAAAGGCGCGCGCTCTGCCTCCGCCCGCAGCCTGCGCGCCGCCCGCCCCCCGCCCCTCCAGGCCACTGCAGTCCTCCCCCCCCCCCCCCGCCGCCAGCTCCAGATGTAGACTGGGCGGGGCCGGGCCCAGGGAGAGGGAGGGGACCGGTTCCCGGGGGGCCGGTTCTGGGTCCCAGGCCCCTGCAAAACGCAAAATGTGCGTTTCCTCTGGAAGAACCTGTGCCCAAGAGTTCGGATTTGGTGGTGAAGGGAGTGCGGTGATTTGACTGTCACCGCTGAATTTGCGTTCTGAATCCCCTGAACACTTTGAGGGATCAAGAGATACCTAACTGCTGGTCGGTCTCACACACTCGAGCCTCCAGGAACCCCACTTGCCTCGCTTCTGGGTGGGGTCAAGGGGAATCCCAACGGGTCTCAGTGGGCACGCTGTTCCATCAGGAGGCGTCGGAATCGAGAAGTCCACGAGTTGCTTAAGACTTAAATCCCCAGAGGGGTCTTTGTCCAAAGTTTGGGTTCTCAGTAAGAAACTCAGGTAACTGGAACGGTTCACCAATACAGGTCTCCCTGAGATAGAACTCTGTTCCTTAGCCAGGGGACGGAGAGCTGAATGAGGGGTCTGGAGCTGATGCCATGGAAGGGGAGAAGAAGGCAAAGGTCACAGTGTTTGGGGTGTCAGACCAGGCCGTGCCAATGCTCTTGAACTCTGGACTCATCATATGGAAATGCCTGGCGTTTGGACTACCCTGAACTACCCGGAGCACTGTCTGATGGAACAGAAGGGCCTCGGAGGATAAGAAGACCTCCACCCAATCCCCTCTGTCCTTCCCATCACATGACAAAGCAAATTCAAAAACTTCAAAAAGTGACCTCACCAGAACCTATGGGCCAAATGGGCAATCCAGAAAGAGAGCCCAGTCACGGTCACCAGCACCACACCTCTCACGTCATGCCGTTGAGAAGAATTGCAGTCCAAATGGATTTCAAGTTCTCTCTTGGTTAACTAGAACATTCGCTCAGACCCCCCCCCATCACCCCTGCCGTTCCCTCAGTATCCGGTAAAGTGAGTAGGCATCGCTTGTGCCCAACAAAGACTCACTCTTCTGGTTGACTGTGTGTTTTGCACAGCTGAGGGTTTAACTCTTTAGCCCCTTTATAACCGTTGTAGGCTCAAATTTACAAAATGTCTCGTAGTTTCCTACCTTCTTCTTCTTCTTCTTTTTTTTTTTTTTTGAGCTAGAGTCTCACTCGGTTGCCCAGACTGGAGTGCAGTGGCCGCTCCCGGCCACCGCAGCCT